CTGGAGTTTAAATGGACCAATTGAAAGAAAGGACCGTGCCACGCATGCACTGGTGAGTCTGACCACCCCTCACGGTGGTCAAATCTTTCTTCTTCGATGATATTAAAATTGGGACCTACAAAATAACACGAATCAAAGCAAGAGATTAAGCCTACCCCCCTAAATCATATGCTGCGAGTTCAATGGTGGCATCCATTTGGTCTAAAAGTCCATGCATTGTAAGGTTCGAAGGTTTCAGTTTGTGATGCCCTAACAATGGCATCCTGTGATTCAAGCATCAAATCTCTTATGTGAAATGTCTAACCTGTTCTAATGGATGTCCTGAACATAAAACAACATATCAAACATGTCAACAATGCAAGAATTATTAATTTTGAATTCACGAAAGCATACCAGACCGATGGTACTTGAGAAAGAGATTTTGGGCATGAGTTGGCTTGAGTAATGGTCGAAACAAGTTCCTGGGAACCTCACGGTGATAATGGCACACATGGAATGGATTAAGGATGGCTGGATAGTGTGATACAGGTTTCACCTCTCTTTCGAGAAAATTTGGAATTTTGCTAGGGTTTGTGGAGGCAGCTGCGTATGTTTGTGAAGCAATATGTGTGTCCCTCTGTCTTTTCTCAGAGATCATGAGATTTATATAGAGAAGGGAATTTAGGTCAACATTTGTGTATCAAATATTGGTCCATTATGAGAAAGAGATTTGATTTGATTTCTTCATAAAGACTTGCTATATTTGATTCAATCAGGTGCCAATCTATTTTCATGCGTTACTTCCAGCTTGTCTGATTTGTTTTGGGCCTCCAACTTGATGGGAATCGAAATCCTGGGATGCCTTTACTCTTTTAAGTGGCCATTCAAAGTGACTTTGGGGTTGGGCGAAGCTTCATTCTTCCTTCTTTGATTTCCCTCAATTTGAGCTAATCGAAATGTCAACTTATTGATATGCTTATCAAAATACATCTTGTTCTGATATGCCAATCGAAGGGAACTTTGTTGACATGCCTTTGAAGTACACCTTATCTTTACTCTTCGATTGGATATGACTTTTTACTCATGGCTCCTTCCATTAGACACATCCATTTGCCTTAGCTACTTCATTTTGGAAAACTCAAATAGCCCAAACAAGAATTTTATTTTGGCCAGTCGAAGCCAACTTTGTCACTTACTTCGAATGTCATTGCACAGGGGGCTTGGGCTTGGCAACATGTAGGATCAAGACTCATCATAAGACAAACTTGCTTTCAATAATTGTGTGTCTCCTTCAAATGGCCACCAATATGTGTCCTTTGAATGATCCTTTGGAGTTCTCTTTCGATGGGGTCATATTGTGTGTCATAATGCAGAAACTACATTGAGAGGTCTTAGCCTTGTGCATTAAAAACAAGCACAGAGTAAGTCTTTTCCTTATGCATTGAATGTAATCATAGAAGAATCCTTTGCCCTTGTGAATCCCAGACAAGTCTAAGGAAGCCTCTGCCTTGTGGATCGAAGGGAACTTGTAGGGGGTTCTTGCCCAAATGAAACTTGGACCAAGGCTTGCTCGAAAGGGACCCAACGCTCAATTGAAGATGGTGGGACAATTATTGATCGAAGGATTTTAAATGCCCAATTGAAGCTTCTGAGACGCATATCGCTCGAAGGGTTTTAAGAGCCCAGTCAAAAACTCATTCTCTAGATGCCAATCGAAGACCCTTTTGTTCACCTACCAATCGAAGGATATTATTGACATGCCAATTCAAGGACACCTGACCATCATTCAAAAATTTTCATTTTCTTCAGGAAAGTGTTTGTAACCACCTATGTAAGAGAAAATCTTGGAAAAACATGAGAGGGCATTGTTTGGGGTACAACGGCTGCCCCTGTTCAATCTTCTTAAACTTGAGGATGTAGATTAACTTGTCTGCCTTTTGTAATCTGAAGGTGGAAGAGGATTGAACGCTGGAGTGCCCAGAAATTTGCACTTGCATGAAGTAACACTGTTGGTCGATGCTAATCGAGAATGGGCTTACATATGCCATTTGGGGAAGATGACTGAAAGTCGTCGGAGATGGGCTTAAAGACGCCATCCAGAGAATATGACGGAGAGTTGTCAAAGATGGGCTTAAAGATTCCATCCAGAGTAGATGCTGACTTCATAAGAGGTCTCTTTGTGGGGGTTGCTGTTCGTGTTGTCTGAGGAGGAATCCACTGAGGGATGTTGATTTCTATTTTTTTCCCGTTTGAGGAAAACTCTGGGGAATAGAGTCTAGGAACTTCAGTTGTCCATGGCTATACTGAGGGGTTATCTCTGGATTGGAGAGATGAAAGTTTGTTGTTTTTTGGTTGAAATCCAGGCTTCACAGTAATTTGCTGGGGAGAATGAAATTAACTACTATCTGGAAATTGTTATACCCCAATTTTTCCCCCTAAGATCCCTCACCATACTCCGTACATCTCACACATAGCATTGGTCTCATGGTTATAAAACCGAAGAGCTTTGGCATTAGGGTTTTTCTATATGAATTAAGGTTGCTACCCTACTCAAAGTTGGTTCAACTGCCGTTCTCATCATTCTTGGTTTCATCATGTCTTGAAATTGAGTAGACCACAAGCTAGGGTTTTGATTCCTCTGAATACCTCAAGTCGTCTCCTCATCATCATGTATCCAAATCAAGAGAATTAGGGTTCCCTCCCAATTGTCTTCACCAAATGATATTACTTTCAAGAAGTTTAAAGGATTGAATCGACATCTTAATCTCATTATGATACTTATCAGTGGATTAGGGTTTTTACCCATGGTGGTTGAGTTTGTCAATGTTTCAATTGAAGGTCATTGGATTTCATACTTCAAGTCTTATCATTTGTCTTCAACCTGTTTCTCAGGGCTTTAGTTTCGTTGCATGATTATTGGTTATCAAGCTGGGATGCCTTTATGGTTTAAAGTTCAAAAACATGAATCATGACACAAAATGTGAAATTATGGATTCATTGGGAGCAAGGCATATTTCTTCTAAGAAAGTTATTATGGTCAATGTTTGCTTTGATATGTCTTTTGATTGGTTGAAATATGGACTAAGGTCATCAGTCATTCAATTAAGATAAGTTTCTCCAATTGCAAGGTAATGTGGACTCAAAATTAAGGGGTTCATACAAATGTGCTATGAGTTCAATGTGACGAAGTGGCTCAAGGATTTGGTTCATAGTTCGCTATGGCGTCAGTATTGATATGTCAAAAGAAATTAAAAAGTGCAAGATTAGAACAGTCATGTATGCAGATGTCTTAGATAAAGAAAATTCCAAGGTATAAGTCATTATCAAATTGTCAAGGATATGATTCCATTTAAGCTTAAAGCAATTCATCATCCTTTATTTGAGATGTCAAACTTTATGGTTTATTCTATATTGCAAAATTAAAGAAAATATTTCGAATTTCTAAAGGAAAATCAGAGGAAGCTTTGATTCATTAGTATCCTTAAATCATTACAAGTGGAAATACTAAAAAAAAGAGAGAAGGAATTTCAATACAGAGTTTCTCTTAAGAGGCCAAAAACCATTCCAATACACAAAAAGCAAAAGATATTGATAGTTCTTACATGGAGGTCAAATTAAAGAAGATTGAGATTTCAAGTTCATGGTGCAAGAAGAAGGTTGAATATTATGGAGTGTCATCAATTAAATTCAAGAAAGTACAAAAGACTTGGTTCCATTGCTATTACAAATTCTGTCCCAAATATCCATTCAAGCTTCAAAGTATAGTCCATTACAGGAAGAAAAAATGTAAAGGAAAAATACTACTACAAAACCTAGTCCTAGTTTCCAAGTTGTTCAACTCCAAATTTTACTTGAGTCTAAGCTTCGCGCCATGTCCAAGGTTCAAATCTTGCATTAAGGTGGAAGCAAGCTTGCTGCTGTCCATTCAATTAACAGTCCTTCCGTCATAAGAAAAAAAAAAGAAGACGATCAAGAAGAGTTAAGCTGGCAGTTAGTAGAACAAAACAAAAAAACAGATGGAATTAGCCATAAACTACGATAGAAAATACAATTCTATGCCTTTCAATACCAAACACGTTTTCTATTAGTCAAACGCCTACACTATCATCAAAATCAATATACGCAACAGCTTCCGCCTTCACAGGCTATATATGATATGGATCCTGCAAGGGATGCTCAGGTTTGGCTAATAGACTGCAATAGAATGTTGCATGAAGATTTTAAGCTTTCGGCTAAGCAAGTATATCCACCTATAGGTGGGCCTTCATTTCAATCTGTAGCTCTGAATTTTTCTCCAAATATTGCTTAGGGGTCTCAAGTTGGAGTCTCATAACACCAAAGCTTATTGTGACTTTAGTTTCTTCTCTTCCAACAAATGCGCAATCATCTGCTACCGGTAGTCCCAAGTCGACTGTAGGCCCCTCAACTGTAAAGCCTCAATTTCCTCCTGTAGCACAAAATGATGAAAAACAATCTCAATTATTGAAATAGGGTCATCAAATTGTAGATCAATCGATTCATCCACCTCAGCAGTTTAGGAATATGTATAACAGTCACAATGCTCATTTTCGGCCTTACCCATCAGCTCATGGTCTCACTTCTCAAGTGTTCACTGAAAGTTCTGACACTCAAAAGAAACTATTATAACAAGAATTCGCCAGCTCATCAACATAACTAACTCTCCAACACTTCTAACCGTTTCCTAACTATTTGTTAACAACAATAACAGAATGGCAAGGGTTTTTCGTAACAGAATGGGGGAGTTCATAAGAAAATGGCTAGGGGAGTTCATAACAGAATTGGGGAGGGGATGCTAACAGATTCAGAAGAAAAAAAAAGGATCCATGATAAAAGAAAAGAGGACAGAATACTGACCCGAGGGGAATTTTTCTCTTCTATGCTTGAATCCTCATGATCATCTTCATCCATCTCCTAAACCTCGGCACTCTTCTCTCCCTCTCAGTGCTTTATCATCTTCCTCAATCTTCTTCACCCTTCGACATCGATATCAAGAACATTTCATGACCTTCATCTTTCGTTCTTCAATCACCATTCTCCACCCAAAGGAAATTCTGCAAGAGGCTCTCTCAAGAAATCCTTCCGTGTTCTTCACTTCAGACACATCAAACTTTCTCAGAATTCCTCACCTTCATCATTCATCACCCTCACCAACAAATATGCATCCTTATCTATACCTTCATCTTCAATGCAATCTGCATCAAGAATTCGTAACTGCAACGATATCACAAGGTCAGAACACAAACATAAGAAGGAATCAGGGAAAGGACGAAATTGATCGAGAGTGATAGAGTAAAATACGCATTCCGGAATCCCAAGTGTTCTCTAATTTCCTCATCTTCGTCGATGGAAGAAGTTTCCAGAGCATCTCCGGTCGGTAAGTAACAAATTCTTTCGCCTTTCATCCCTCATCGTTTTTGCATCGTAATCTTTATCGTATCATAGTTTCAAATCACATATTACTTGGATTTTTTTAAGGATAAGTCTGAGAATTCGAATTTAACTCATGAGCAAAGCGCTGAGAATGGAAAAGCTTTAGTAGAGAAGGTGAGCTGTGACGATTTGAGATGAAGAAGAAGAGAACTGACAATGAGGAAGAATGAAATGGAGGTAAATAATTGCTTTATGCTGCGGATCAAAGTGGAGAGGCGAGCGAGGAAGATGAATTCGCAAAAGACTGGGGTTTCTCACGCGGTTGATGATAGAAGAGGAAGAAGAATACATACTATCACTCCCAATCCGAACCCTATCCCTCTTTCAGATTCAATTCTTTTTTTTATTCAAATTTTTTTTATTAATTAAAAAATGTTGAACAAAATATTTGAGAATAAAAAAAAAAGAATAAAGTGTTTGTTAGATTATTGATTCAGATTTCCAATCCACTGGACCATGCTGCTAGATCTGGACCGAAACATTATACTCTAAGCTCAAGAAAAATTTCCAACACTAGTGATTGTAAAAAAAATTGTAGGGCTCATTGCAGAATTGGGCTTAGGAATACTGATCTATACCTCTGTTCCAGTTTAACACCCCCTGGTCTTTCTAATTCATCATTCTTTTAAATTTTGTTTTTTTTAGTTTAGTTTAATTTTCTTTCTTTTTAAATAAAAATAATGAATAAAATACATATGATGAAAACAATAAAAAATATAGATTTTAGGAATGTTTTTTAGTTAATAGACTACAAATTTTTTTGGTTAGATTTCTCTTTTGATTTTTAGGAAACTAATTCTTAAATTTTTCGATTACTTGAGATTTGTGATTCATCTTTGCTTGTTGAGCTGAGTCTTATGCAGGTTCATTATTTGATATACGGATGTGTTTTGGATTCCTATTATGATTTATTTTTCACATCCATGAAGCTTCGACACCTATTCCAAATATTCGATTTCTGACTGTTTGTTTGTTGATGCTAGCTCGCGTGAAGTATTCTGAGTCTCTTTCCTTTGGTTGCGCTTTTTGCGGACTTTATTGTTCGTTTGGTATTATACTGCTTCCAATTTATACTTCCGCATTTATCGCTTTCTAGATATCATGAGAAGAAGGAAATAAAGAGCGTATGCTCGAAGTCGCTGTTTAAAGACCTGTAGCAGGCATTTCGCACTTCATTTCTTATATGTGTTGTGCTTGTGTTTGTTCCCTTTCTTGTTGATCGATGAGTCACTCAATTTAGCAATTGAGATCACGACTTCGCTCTCAGTGCATGCTCCCTATAGGATTTTATCACTTTCCTTTATTTCTTGTTGATCGATGAGTCACTCAATTTAGAAATTGAGATCACGACTTCACTCTCATTGTATGTTCCCTATAAGATAGTTTGTTAGATTTTCTTTGGCGTGCTAACTTAGATAGGATCCCTCATTATGTGATAACATTAGGTTAGAGATAGGTTAGTCTCCCTGAGATGTTTTCTTCCCATTTTTGTATACTTGCATTTAAAACTAAAACTTCTTTTTCTTGGAAAATGTATAAAAAATGCTAAGCATACAAAAATTATTTTCGTGGTAAAAAAAATACCAACTAATCCATCTCTTTTCGTCGTTCGGCTTTTCTCTTCTAAGAGAATATTATCTCCTTTCCACTACAGATCATATGTCTCCAAAGGTCGAGCAGCGGTGGAATGATTGAATGCAACATTGTTCATTTAAAAAATACAAACAAACAAAATATGTGAGCCGAACTACGGTGCTTTGATTCCTTAAAGGGGATAAGTAGGCATCTGGTCACGGGGCTCAGCCGAGCGAAAATTGTAAATACTTCCTTCTTTTCCCCGTGTTTTCTTCCCTCTTAGTTTTATAACATTTAAGCATTAGATTGAACACACCCTTTGATTAGAATAACGAGAGTGGATCCCGTAGAGTACTATGGACGTGTGGGGTGTGTGATACAGTGGGGTGTTCGCAAATGTTACGATTTAGCAAGAGTCGCCACTGACTTTTCTTTTATCCAAAAGGAAACGTGAAAAAGTACAGGAAAGACCTTTAGAGATGTTTTCTTGAGTTCGGGGGGTAGATTATGAAAAGGGAAGGTATTAGCACCCTTTTCATCCATGGTTTTCCATGGGCTCTTAGTTACTTGCTAGATCACTTGCTTTTGTTTGAATGTGATTGTGGTGTGGTTTTTTGAAAGTATTTTGAAAATGTAACTTTGTAATGTTTCTCATTTCTATAAGAACGCGTGCAAAGTGTTGTTTTGAAAATAGTTCAAAGAGGTGTTTGTGGGACGTGTTTTTGAAAGTGATTTTGAAAAGGTGCTTTCTTTGTAATGGCTCTCGCTTCTATAAGAACGTGTACAAAGTGTTTGTCTTTGAAAATCGTTCAAAGATGAAAGTGTTGGTGTAAAAAGTGTTTTTTGTTGTGAGCAAGCGAGTAACTGACAGCGAACCTACCTACTCAAAAGGTCTTAGATGTGCTTTTCCTCCTCCTTTAGATGTTACTATCTTACCATTGATTTGGTAAGAAGCCCCATCGTTGGATGTGAAGGGACGGGTGTGGGACATTTTGTATAGTCATAGAAGGCAACCCACATAACGTTTTAGCAATGTCGTTTTAGGGACTAGATCGTTTACCGAAGTCAACATCAAGGGTCATCGAGAGACTACGATCTTTTATCGAGGTTCTTTTACTAAAACGCCCATGTTCGAGGGACATGACTATTTTTCCGATAGGCAACAAAGTGGGATTACCCTAAGGGTGCTAGTGTGCAAGTGTGTTTGATTGCATGCATTTAGTCTTGATTTGGGTGATCTATTTGTTGATTTTCATATCTTGCCATACACACCCTAATTACTAGCAATATATTTTAAAGCGATAAAAGTGCGGAAAATAAATATCCTACGCTATTATAATCCTTAGGGGGGTGGGGGTACATATTTATGAATGAGGGTTGCAAATAAAATTAAATTCTAAGTTACTATTACAACCATATTGAAATGTACAATATAAGAAAGAAAAAGGACTTGTTTAGAAAATGGTTTTTAGTCTTAAGTTAATTAAATAATAAAAGAAAATATTTTTATGTATTTTTATGTTAATAAAAAAAAGGGTTAATATAAAAAAATGATAAAAAGGAAAATAAATGAAAGAGTTGAAAAACGCGTGCTGCTGCGAGCGAAACCACAGGGATTAGAAGTTCTGGAGTCAGGAGCATTGTGACTCAACAGGAAACGTCAATGGGCATCCGAAGTTCTGAGTTGGTAAGCTCTGAGGTCCTGCAAGAAACGTTAGAGGGAAAACACAGAAATTCTGGGTGGTATTCAGGCAGTGAGCTAAAAGTCAGAAGTTCTGTACTATGCTAAAAACAGTGAATAAACATCTGCAGTTTAGTGCATTATTAGCATGTAAGAATAAGAAGTTCTAGGTGTTAAAGCAGTGAAGAGAACTCAGAAGTTATATGTTCTTAAAGAATGAGAAAATCCTAAAAGTTCTATGTGTTAGAATGGTGAGTGAAAAATAGAAGTTCTGTGTTACATTTCAACTCTTTCCTTACATCAATCAGCACAATGATAAGTTATTCAGTTTTCAGTAAACAACAAATCAGAAGGATAAAAGCATAACAGTTTATGGAAGTTCTGATCCTGATCCTAAGTCTAGCCATGATTAGAAAGTTCTGATCCTGAGTCTTTCTACTTACGCAGTGGTATGGAAAACATTAATACTATGATATTTACATGTTTAATGATGTTTTGAGTGAGAAAATGCAAAGTCAGGGAGACTTACCTAGAACCTGGAGTGCGTGTCTGGGACTTGAGCTGCTGCCTTCAGATATTCTAGAGTCAACAAGAGCAACAAATGAGGAAATTCCAAGTTCTTTTACTTCAAGGGAAGAACAAAGGTTTTGGTTTTTTTCTTAGGAATTCTGGATTTTTTTATAGAACTATCACAACTTTCTTTTCTCTCCTTTTGACGACTCTCTCTCTAAAAGCCAGCCCCTTGCAAGTGTGATGGAGTAACTTATTTATAGATGAATTTGTTGTGGTTTTTGGGGGGGAAAACAGATGGGATTTGAACTTTTGGCACACTGTTCCATTGCTTTTTGATCACAACTTTTTGTATTTGGTGCAAACACAAGATTTGGAAAAATGCAGGCGTGGACTGGATTAACTGCTGGTTAGAGTACTGTACTATAGCAGTGCAGCAGGTTATTTAAGCGAGTTCTTGGGATTTGGTGATGTTCTGATTGCAAAAGATCATAAACGTAACCTCCAAATGCTGAAGGGGCATCTTCTGACCAGAGCGTTGAACATAGCCTCCATATGCTGAAGAATTATGTTATGGCTAGAGCATCATGTTCTGACCAAAGAGCATTGCTTCTGCATGTTCTGATTGAAGCTTTATGTTCTGGACTGTGTTTGCAACTTCTGACTACACTTGCATAGAGGCTGGCTCAGAAGTTCTGAGGTATCACATACTCTTAACACTTAGAAAATTTTCTAAATGTTTAGAAAATTTGATTTTTCCAAAGTAACTTCTGACTCCTGATTTTTTGATGAATCAATCTCATGTCTTGATGAAATAAAATTGTTGAAACTTGATTTGATCTGAAAGTCAAAATTTTGACTTTTCGGTGTGCTTTTGACCATTTTTCCCTTATGGATAATTTCCTTGAAAAATTGCAGTTCAAGGCTTGGAATTGGATGGAAGCAAACTTGAGGATCCAGGGTGATTCCTTGAGAAATGAGAGGGCAAATTTTGGGGTACAACAGCTGCCCCTGTTCAATCTTCTTACACCTGAAGAGTTAGATTGGTAAATCTGCCATTCGTGACTTGAAGGTTGAAGATGATTGAAC